ATTCCAACGGCCTCTTCAGCTCTTGGCAAGCAGAAGGTTCCCCACTCCTGCTTAAAAATGTGGCAGTGCTATATCCTGTTCTCTATGTATTATGTGATATTGATTGCAATATAGTGTAGCAGTTAAGATTTATAAGGGCAATAAAGAGTAAAAAAAGCATGCTCTGCGAATATTAACTTGATGGCATTTTTGGATTCCAGAAAAAGCTTAGCCTTGTATATTCCAAAATAAGATCAAGAGTGATGTCGTTTACTTAGGCAGAGAGCTTAAAGCTGAGCCACAATGTCATCAGATAGAGCTACATGCAGATACAGGTTTTCTCAAAACACTAATGTGGTTCTGATCCAAAATTCCGCCTCAAGTTTGCTTCCAAATGAAGCTTTTTTAAAAGCAGGGGGGAAAAGCCAATTCTGTTATTCTGTTATCTTACTGTGCAATTTTAATGCAACTAAGTTGTTCAGAACAGCAAAATATTTGAATAATATATCTTTTCCCATTTGCACAAACGCTGGCAGTGATGCATAACAAATTGACAGTCCAGGCTGTGTACAAATCAAGAGCTTGTAGAGATGCTCTGGAACTCAAACAGTCAGACTGAACCTGCATCAATATATCGAAGCAGTCTTTTTCAATTATAAGAACTGAAATCCCAAGTCTTAACAAGTAAAATTCTTTCAGACACCAGCCATTCATTCTCATGTATACCAAGCCTTAGAGGGAAAATATTAATCAAATCCAGTTGCTGTCTGATGCAGACTATACTGATACAGACTATATAGTATAGTCTCCAATATTTTTTCAGATGTTTTTTAATTGTCCTTAGCAAATGAGCTCCACCAATTTCAGAATTACTTCCCAAATTTAGTAGGCATCAATTTCAGCAATCCTCCTAAACCTAACATCATTTCATTTTATTTCGTTCTTGATTTCATCACTTCTGTTTAGAGCACTCCAACGTATTTTTTTTCAATATTATCTTTGAAGGTTGACTTTGACCTGTTGGTTCTGGGGCAGCAAGTGAAAAGTATCAAAAGAACAAAATGAAATTTTGAGAATTATAGGAGAATAAGCAATACCAGATAAACATTTATTCAAACATTTGTGATCAGGACTGAATACTTCCAACTGGGAAATGCCCTCAGCTGCAAGCACCTTGTAAAATACAGCCTGAGTGATACTATTACTCTTGGAATAATAACCATCTGAATTTGGATGGCTGATTCACCAATATATTCATAAATCTGGGTTTGGGTGTCTGAAAAAGAGTGTTATTCAGCCAACTCTTCTGATAACCAGGATTTTCATACTAATATTGCAGAAGAATGAAAAGCAAGACATGAAATGTCACATTCACAGGCAATATTTGGCTGTTCAGACAACCTCTCTTCCCATCAGCTCTCTTCTCCCTGCTTTCAGCAGGAAGATATCCACTGAGCCATTATTTTTCTTTTTACAGTTTATGTTATTAATGTTCATGCATGGCAAATAAATCTGCAGAATTCAAGAAGTGTTTCACAACCCCAAACAAAGAGCCTTAAACAGATCACAGTTCTGCTGCAGAAAATGCTACTCAGCTTGTGCTAGCTGTCAATATTTTTGACAGTCTGGATTTTGAAATATGTTAGTTAACAGAATCCTTGGTGGGCAGAGGAACTGACTTGCAGGCAGCTGACTTAAACAAAGGCAATTTGGAATTAAATTCTCATTCAGTTTGCTGGCTGACCATCATTTGTATTTTACTGATTGTTTGTTTTTGAAAGCTTTGCAAATGCTAAGGCGGTGTGTGAAATGCTAACGGTGCTTTGATGTTTCCTGGCCCAAGCACCAGCCTTCCATCTTTTTTACAGTGAAATTTTATCCAACAGGAAAGTAGCTCATTGGATTAATGTAGTATCTTGTCAAGTGCAGGGAAGCCAGTTGTAAATCTTGTGGAGGAAAGACAAAATAAAAAATAAGGAAGAGAGGATGAAAAAAAATGTATTTGAACATTTCTCCCTCAAAGAACAAATATATAAAATTCAGCAAATCCAAGCAGCAGAGTTAACACTTCCAAGTAACGGGCAAAATTTGTCCTCTAGCAAAGTTATTCTGAGGAGCATTAGCAACATAATAAATGAAGCCTCTTTCTAAGAATTATGTGTATCGTAATGCATATTACAAGGCTTTATACAAATGCACAGAAAAGCAGATGGGTTCAAGAAAGCTTACTGAAAGTGAGGTCTACTTGCTGCAAGTACACACCTGCACTCCAGAAACAATGCTGCCTCGATATTCAACCACAGCAGCCACAAAAGAACGAATTCTGTAGTAACATATGACATAATGAGGCTAAAGCCTTAATTTATGGTGTTAGAATTGCCACAAAGTACACTAAAGAATCCCACATATTTTTTAATCTCATTTTAATTGCTCAAGAGATAGCTGTTGTAAATCCACATGAATTACTGAATGACTACACTCGTTTCTCAATTGTGCATTGAAAGATTCTCAAGAATTTTATCAAGCCAACAAAATATTTTAGTATAGATCACTCTCCTGAAAAATATCTTTTTCCATTTAATTCTACTCTTTAGAATACTATAATCTCGCTGTATAATGCAGTAATTCTAATGGTGTTCTCAGGTTCTTTTCATACAGGCAGGTCCCCAGCTGCTTTGGGGTTTTTGTTTGTAGTCCAAACAGATGCTAAATGGTTGCTTGAGGAATGTTTGGTTAGAGATTTTTAAAGTAAAGTATCTATTTGCTCAAAGCTTGGGGATATTCAGATCAGGGAGGGCCTTGAATATACAGAGAGAGCTACTACAGCCTGGAATTCAGAGTGAAGTTAGATTTAGGGAGTTTGTTCAGAACTATCTTTGCTTATTATTTTGAAGCATGTTTATGTGGATAGATGTTCTGAACTAGACACCACAGAGCACATAAAATTATAGATTGTTAATCAGGGGAATTTTATTATCTGTGCTCTTTGGAAGTGCTGTAAATGAGACAAATATTTCTGCATTTTCATAAGGCATTAAAATTGATTTCCATTTTAACTGTTGGGCACTGCAATTGCAAATAAACTAGCCTGTCTATACAAATGACAGTGCTTTCTAATACTTGCTTTTCTTCTTGCAAACTTCTCATAAACAAGCAGTAAAATGATCTCTGTTCTAACTCCGTGGCTTTTCACAGCTTGTACACCTGCACCACTGGCTTACAGTACCTTGCCAGCAAAATACAATGCATCACTTCCAACTGCCAGCAGTCACAAACTCAGTGTTCTCATCACCTTTCAAAGAGCCCTTAATGCTCAGTCTTTCAAGGTGAACTTAATCAGTACCATTTCAACCAAGAGAAAACTGTCGGCTCCGTTTTCCCAGGGGGATTGGCAAACATAGCACCTGGGAGCGCCCAGGAGGAGTGTGGGGAGGACCTGTCCTTCCCAGCACAGTCCAGGACACATGCTGCACCTCAGACCCACCTGCACCAACTGACACCTTGCCACAAGAAAGCACACCGCAGTGGGAATGCCCTGAGCTAGTGTAAGCACTCAGCTCTGCGGTGCAGGGAACTGGAGGCCAGTGAGATCCCTTGCTGGGGGTTTCCTCACTGGGGGTGGACTGAGAGAGCCCCAGCTGAGCTGCAGCCTGCGGAGAAGGGCTGTGAGACATCTCAGCACAGCCACAGCAAGCAAACAGGGCTAACGAACCCCTGCCTCAGCCTTCCCAGTCACTGCCTTCCTATTTCCCAAGGTAGTGCTTACACTGCTGAGTAAAACCAAGGGTAGGGAAGAACGGGATACAAATCAGCCTGCTATGCAAGTGTCCCATTGATACTGTGTGGCCACTGAACCACACCATGACACGCATGAAGTCGCTGAATAATTAGGAATTTGAAGTTAGTGTTCTCCTACAGATGGAGAGAATCCTCCTTTATATAAAATACATGTTTTCACAAAGGACAGCAGACCATTTTAAAACAAGTTTGAGATAAAGCTAAGTCTGTTTCTACTCCTCACCAAGATGCAGAGGGCAAAAAATTTCAAAGGAAGTGGGATTGCTTAGTAGTTACATATATAATCAAGTTTCACTATTTGAACATGACTTGAAAATGTATCTGATATTTTTATCAATGCAAAAACAATGTTCTAAGCACACATCACTAGAAAAATGCCAAAATGACTTGCATAAAATTAGTAACCAAACAATTTAAAATATGTTTTTTACATATAGTTTGCATTGTCTCTTTGAATATTTTCTCATAAAGATAGTGGTCCGTATATATTGCCTTGCATCGAGCAGAGTTAAATCAGCAATTGATTTGGTTTTGTATTCTTTCAGCTAAGAAAGCTGTAAATACCAGGATCCTGCCTGCTACATGAACACAAATGGCCTCAGTGGAACCCTGCCAGTTTACAGCAGCAGAAAATCAAGGCCAGAGGATCAAACAGTCTTTTCCATAAGAGCAGGGATTTGTTTCCATGCCATCTTCTTCAAAAGGTTCTGAATTATCTGGTGAGTACTCTCCATACTGAAATTATTTTCTTTCAGTGGCACTGTGTGTATATACAAGTGTATATAATGATACCTTTGTGCATTAACAGAAATATATTTAGAACCATAATGATGTCTGAATCAGATAGATCTGTCTGCAGCTCTTCTCACTTCCTCAATTTTTATCTTATGCTTTCAAAGCCATTATCTCATTAAATAATTACTTTTCCCTTCACACCCACAAGAAGCAATTCAGAGCATTAATATCTATGCTTGGACCATTACCATCTGAGGAAACAACCCTTCAGAATTCTGACCCAATGAAAGTAGTACTAACTTCTCATAAAACTCAGAGTTCGTCCTCATGACTCAGGATCTATCAAGACTGAAGTAGGAAGCAGTCTTTCTGGTAACACCTCAATAAGCAAAAAGTTCACAGCTGATCAGGTCACTGGCTGAGATACGTGCATATTTCTGCTGCATCTCAGACATCAGTGAAATCATGAATACAGAGGGATTAGAAAGTTCCATCACACAGCCTTTATTTCCTATGAATTCACCCAACATCAGAGATTTTACACTTCTTTCACTGAGTTAGAAAGCCAGACCCACTCCCTACTGCAATCATCACAAAGCTGACTCCAGGAAGCACACACTTTCCTTTTCTATTGTGAGTTTTTACCCTTAATGATTTCGAAAACTGGAAAAGTGTTTAGAAAAACCATAAACAGGAAAGGAGGGTGTACCTTACCATGCTGAATGCCTAAAATAATAAAGAGGAAAAATACATATTATTCAGATTACAAAACACCACAGAAATATAGATACAAATCCAAGTAACTAACTCCATGTATATGTATAAAATCTAAAATGCAAATCAAGTACATTTTTTAAAATGATGATTTGGTAATGGAGAAAAGGAAAACAGGCCTTCTCTGTGAAGGATAGTCAGTTAAAAGTTACAAGCCAAAAACAACCATCAGTATATCCAATAAAGCCAATATGTCACACTTGGAAAAGGTAGCCTACATTGGCTAATCTCCACTGTGGTGGAGATTATCATATCTGTCTCTGCTAACAAAGAGCAAAAAAGAGCAAAAAGTAATGCAAATTTAAGTAAATGATCCTATTTTCTCTGCTTAGGATGAATGTTACCAGAGTTCCCATTTTGTTGGGGATTCTGCAGCAGTGTTTCTTTATATCTAATGGAACCATATAATGAGTATACTGAATGACACTTAGTGAGCTTAATAGGCACTCTGAACATTTGGTAAGAGAATCATCTGCCTGTGAGAGGAGGAACCGAATGGCTGAATGTCTCCCTCATGTACAGAAAAAGATTGTTAATGAAATGAATAGGAAATGCACTTAGTTTCCAGAGCTGATTTGGCCTGAAGATCATTATGAACTCCTGGATAAGTCGTCACTGACTATAGTGACAATAGGACTCCAACACAACTTATCTATAGATTTGTACTTCATACTTTTCTAGAAATATATATGTAAATAGTGCCAAATTCATCGTCAGTCATTTTGTGAACTCACAAAAGCCCATCTTTAAGGTTGATTCATTTTCAAAATGACAGACGGTACAGAGCTTTCTTAAACTAAAGATTCTTTACTGTATTTACTTTATTTACATTAAGTACCTATGCTAAGGAAGTGGCATTCCCTGATTCTCTGTTGATGCCCTCAAAGGCTGACCTTGCTAATTTTGTAGAGCGGCTTTCTATTTCCTCCTCCTGGATTTACTCTTGGACCTCTTCCAGAATTTATTTCTCATTCATCCCATTCTTTGCTCTTAGAAATTTCTGACAAAGGAGCAAAACAGTCTTGTATTCTATCAATCTCCAGAGCTTGCTGAATTTCAGTGATGCCGAGTATAAACCATAAGCTGGTACCCAAAATCATCTCAGAAACCAAAAAAAAGTTAAATCTGACAGCCTCTCAATGCCAATTTCTTTAATGGATTAATTCACTATGTTTCTTTCTGTCTGGGTGGATTTCTGTAGCACTAGAAGTTTAACTGTCAGTAGTTACACAACAGCAATTTTGATCAACTCTCTCAAAAGAGTTGACGGTAACCTGGCATATTTATGTCTCAGAAGAACTAAAGCAACTCAGAAGAAAGAAAAATATACCCCCAAATTTATTCACTGGTATAACTCCACATCTTAAAATCTTGCAGTGACAAAGAAAGAGTCTATAGACCAACATGTCAGCTGCAAAAAGTTCCTTCAGCTCTACATTACAGAAAGAAATAAGCAAAGACAGCTTTAGGACTAGCTTTAGGCTAGTCAGTACCAAATATAAGCAAGAGTAGCCATGCCTGCTATTCTGAATCACACCAGCTTGTTTATGTTTCATGGAGCAATTATTCCAGCATGCCTAGAGGCTATGTGGGCTTTACTGCAGTCAGGGATTTTACTTTATTATTTTTTTATTTAACAAATGGGAATTCACAGCTCTCGTTTGAGACATCTTCCAGCTGCTTCGTACCACATCAAAAACAACAAAGAAGCTGAGCAACACTGAGGCCACTGATCTATGCAAAACTCCCTTTGGATTTAGGGACTGACAGAGACCTTCTTAGTCAACCTGAATACCTAAGCAAATCAATGCACAAAATATAAAAAGATGGTAAACATTCCTCACTGCTGAAGGGCTACTATACAAGTGGCTTTGAGCAAGCACTACCTTCCTAATCTGTGTTTTCATTCAGACTAAGACTAGGAGGCGTAGAGAAAGCCAACCTCAGGCTCCAAGGCACCTTGATGGAACAAAGAAAATCCTGAGGATGTCATTTACTGTCCACGCAGACAAAAAGCATCTAGTAAGGGTACAAGAAGTAAGATTTATTCTCCAGAATGCTATTTCATCAGCATTGCACAAAATGCCATTCAGAGTGCATCTGATTCAGTCTTCAGCTCCTGCTGGACTTTACATCTCTCCCCTTCTCTTCAGACAATTCTTACATGGGCATCAGCTCAGCTTCAGAGAACTTAGAGGTCAGTGCCACGTTGTCATAATCAAATTCTTCATCAAGTAAGAATGGTTGAACATCATCTCCCAGTAGCTGTAATGAACAAAAACAGACACATAAATGATATCGCTGCAAGTAATGATAAGGAAGCTCAAAATATAAACTTCTAATTAATATTTAATTAAACTATTTTTCTGACTCCAGCACTCTCAGCTGATTAAGCTGTTTTTAAGTAAAAGAATAAATTCAATTATTCAATTTGACCTAATTTAAGCCATTTAATGTGCCCCATTTGTACTGTTCTGTATCTGAATGAATATCATTAGCTAATTTTGCTTGAGGCAAGGAATCTGAAAACCTCTGCACACATCTATTACAATTCTGCCCCTTGTAGAGACAGAGCTGTGGGGATATGGGCAAGTTATGTGCAGACATGTTGAATTTCAAAGGCAGATTCCATACCCTTAAAATTTGGGCTAGTGTCACACAACACCTCAGTGCACATTCATCTGATGCTAACATAAAATGATGCCCAGAACACAGTTTTGGCAAAGAAAAGGCCTGGAATATGCAAAATGACACAATCAATGTTCATTCTCTAATAATTTTCACCATGTCAGACATATGCAATTGGTTGGTTTGGATGAACATGTATCCAATAAACAATAACCAACACTGGTTGGTTTATGATGAACATAGAGCCTTACTGCACTTGCCAATATTTTCTCTGTTGACATATTGCTCAGCATTTCTGTATTGCTTCTCACTGAAATACCTGAGAATAAACTCTCTGCCTATAAAATAAAATAATGAAAACAAATAACTACAGCATGCCGCATGCTGAAAAGGAACTGCAGGGAGCCACAGCACAAAAGGTTTATAGTAACCAGTTACATAAAATGAATTCCAGAAGTACGCAGGAGACACATCCTCACTGCCCAAACTGTACAGGAATATTCCTTATCCTTTTAGAAGTTAATATAAAGTATCTAGAAATTTCAACCATGACAGATGACTTATCTCCTCAAGGGCTCTGTGTTTCAAAGTCTGATGTACTTCAGTAACAAATCAGCAAAACATCTGTTTAAAAAACAACTTGTTTTTAAACACTTGATGAATCCCCTCTGAAGCTAGTAACTACTTAAGTACACAGTAATAAGTAATGCTTCCTATTTATAGCCTTAGAAACTACAACAGCTACAAAAAGCACAATAACACTACTTGATAGAGCAAATAGCTGCAAAACAACGTTTCAACATAGTCACCACCATTAGCTGTGCATGTTTGCCAGTAATAAACAAGAACCTGCATGCTGAGCTCAAAATCTGCACCAGCAGAGGTGACCCAGCGTCAGTGTCACCAGTGCTGAAACACCACCCACTGTGCTCACATCCACTGTTTGGTCTCCACAAGTGTTCAGCAAGTATCAAAGAAAGTCAGTGAGTGCCATTTTTCCTGCACAGAGAAATTCACTCACACACTTTTGCTTCATATGCATTTCCATGTCAGACACCATTTTATGAGACTGCCCCTCTGCTGCCATCTGTCAAACACAGCAACAGCATGTAGTGGGATACTGGTGGGAAGGTTCAGTCTCTACTGCCATACCACCAACAACCATCCCTAATTTATACGTGCCAACGTGATAAAGTAGGAGGCATTACTTTCAGAGCAGCCCGTGTATTTGAAGTTATGAATAGTCTTACTTGTTTTGCTGAATGCAAGGAAGAACATTCAGCATCTTATGGTCACCAGCCAATATAGAAGACACAGTATGACACAATTTCTGTTAACGTTCTGTCAGAAGCTGCAGTGACACACTTCATACCATTTAATAAATCATAGAAGCAGCACTAGGATTCCTCTCCAGTGGCAGGGCACCCAACAGACACAGCAGTGAATATCCTTGTAAAGGATGCCTTATTAAGTAAACTTTAAAATTGTCTGACTGACCAAGAAATATTTTTCCAGTTTTCTATAATTTTACTGATCATCTACATTGTTCCATGGACCTGGCTGATATTGGCTTCAAGGATGCTGAAGCACATAAATCAGACCCACAGACATTGGCATTAATAAATAAGAAAAGAGAATTTTGTAAATAGAGTTTTTACAGAAAGGTATTTATTTTGCATGCAGACATTTTCTTTCTTATGTCCACAGACTAACTCAGGTAAACCATCATTAACTTTTATAAACAGCACATGAAATAAATGTTTATATAAGACAAAGCCTGCAAACAAGCACTCTTTCCTGTTAGGGATAGACCTTGTTAAGGTCAACTCCTTGACCTTCTCACCACATTTATGTCCAGTTTCTATTTTTCCACAGGCAAAGCTTTCTAAAATTCTGTATTGTTAAGGGTACCAGGAGCTGGCTAATGACTGGTAACAGCAATTACATTTCATTAGCACTCATCTTTCCTTTAAGGAAATACAAAACATTTCTAAAATATGATGTAATATGCAAACAATTTTTTCTGTTAGTTTCGTTGTAACAATATTCTTTACCACGTCAATTTACCACGTTAATTACCAAGGTAATTAAGCTCAGAATAGTTCAAGTTACAGTACACCCTCACAGGGATTCTGCAAGAACAAATCTCTCCTTTCTCTGCTAACGTAGTTACAGAAACCATACAATCATTCACTGTGCCCTTGCGTTCAACTTTGTATCAATCCAATAACTTTTCATGCAAATGCAGATAAATACTGGAAACACTTGTTTAAAAAAACTTAAACCCAAAAAGCTACATGGAGATGGAAGCCAAAGTAAATAAATCTGATTTCACTGCTACCAATTTTTTTGTTACACATTCATTGCACGTTGAAAAGTTTATTCACATTACGTATCTATCAGTGTGCTTCATCTCTCAAACAAGTTCTCAGAGCAGTAAGGATTCTTTTTTTCTGCTTCTTCCAAGAAGGTGTTCACTTCAGCCTTCCACACAGATAAGTAGTATAAAATTTTTATACTGCAATCTGCAATTTTGATCTGTTTCAAAAGGAAGACATTTTACAACAGAACACAAAATCCTCTGAGCTGATCAAGTTATTATCATGTTATTTTTGCCTAAGGTGCTGAGAGAAATATATGAATTTCAGATCTCTAATTTAACCTCTAATTGAAAACTTTTTGAAAGCTTTCTGGGAATAGAATTCTACTCTATTAGAAAGCTGCCAGTTTGCTTAAGATTGCTCCCTTGATTTACTCTCTGAAGAAAATAATTTTCATTTACAGTTCCCGCATGTCCAAATTAATGCTCATATTAATAACTGAAGTATTTTACTGCAGATTGCTTTACAAAGTAATTTTGTAAATAAAATACCTTTAAATGAGACTTTCAGAAGTCCATTAATAACTGGCAACTCAGTCATTGTTATTAATCTGTGTGGAGTTAAAGTTAACTGAACAGTTTGTCCCTGTTCTTCCAAATACCTGCATTTTTGTGTAATTACTCCTAAAATCCACTTGCTAAAATTATGTAAAGGATGCACATACACTCACTGGTGTTTTCATTGTATGCTCAAAGGAAAACTTAGTAAGCCAATAACAATGAAAAAAAAAAAGATGGCTGGGGTGGGAAGAAGGTATATATGCCATTATCTCATAGAAACTTAGTATGTACTGGAGGATTTAGGGCAACACCAAAAGAAGTCTTGAGTTAGGGCCACTGGACAATACATCACGGTCCATTTTCCACTACTGCTTCATCATCCCGGACAACTTGCTCAATCTCTGTCTTCACTGGCCTCTAAAATGATACAACTCTTCCATCTTCTTTCACTTAGTCAATCCTGTCTTAATGTTCTTTCTCGGTCTTAAGGCCTATCAATAAAATCTCAAATCACAGGAAGTCAGTGGGACCTGCACTTCAGGTTTTAGATGCTGTCATCACACAGATAAAATGATAAAAAGAGGCACAGTAAATACTTTTTTGAATGGCCAAAATACTTTTTGAAATTCTTAAACTAAATGCTAACAGTGGAGAACAGAAAGGTTGAATTCATCTTTCCTAATCTCAGCCATAGAAGAGTTAAATTTCTAGGTTAAAGTAGCCAACAAAGAACCAGCCTGACAGTCAGCCTCTGATATCAAACAGATATATTACATCTGAGGACAAATACTGACAGCAAGTGGGATAAATCACTTTCTGGATGTGCTCATCTCTTCCTCCTGACGACAGCACTAAATTAGGCTAAAAGCAGAGCTCAAGTTAGGTGAGATGAATCCTACTTTGAATGCATGTGAACAGCAAGAGCATGAAAAATATGCATTCAACTGAAGTCAAATATACGCAAATGGAAGATAAGAACAAATAAAAACCTAGATATTAATACATAGAGTTAATTTAAAAATATGAAATAGATATACTATATAAAGGAGAGAAAAAATATCAGGACAGAGGAAGTAAATGTTCTGTCTAATGTACTTCAATCATGGAGTGAATGTGGTTTCTGCTACTTCACTCTGGATTGGTCTGTGTTGTTGAGCTGCATATAATAAAGTTTGAGAATATACGTGTATGAAATATATTGAATATATAACACATTTCTAAAACCAGCAAAATTGCTGGCCAGTACAAATAATTTCTTGTGTCACTCACTAAGCTGTTCTTTAGTAATTAGCCAAATTCTATGCTGGCTTTTAACAGAACTTCTCTTTGTACACAAAACTTTCCCTAGCAATAAATTCCACTGAAGTCTCTCACAAATAGGTCCACAGCAAAGAAATTCTCCTCCTACATTGAAATAAGATTGTTTATTTTTCATAGGAAATGGCTTTCCATTATATCCTGTGAAAACCAAATAGGAAACCACATTCTGTTGCCTTTCCCTAGCAGAGTTGCTTTGTTGGACAGAGAACAGTCATTTCAAAATGTTGCCAGGGTAAATCTTTCTTCTTAAGCAGTCCTGTCATAAAGCAAAGCAAGACTTAATTTTCACAGCAATGACAATTTAAAGCACTGAGGGATTTTAAAATAGACCTGTTCAGTCTTGACAGTTCTAAAAATCAGGCCACATTTCTGATACTTAAGTGAAGGCACTAAAATACACATAATCTAGGGAAAATGCTGACTTCATTTTGAGAATTGTGTTGTCTGGTACCAACTGAACACTTGTGAAAAAGAAGCATTAATGTAATAATACTCTATTTCCCTTTCAAAATCCACCTTTTTCTGAAATTGAAGTGAATGCTGCATGCAGTGGAATCTTCAGTTACTTTTCATGAACTATGTTACAGTCACATACAATCATTTATGAACACTGCAACAACCCCCCTTCTTTGATTTTACACAGAAGTTATCAAATGAGCAAACTGTAAAACCTCATACTAAGGGTTTTTGTGTGCCAATGGATATTTCTTAAGGCAAAAAACTGTGAATTACATCAGTCCTTAGGGAAAAGTGCAAATATTTTTATTCACAGAGTGGAATGCACTAGAGCTGGAAAGGTCATTTTAGAACATTGTTACTTTCTCCCAAAGCAGACCTGTTCAAGAGTTTATTGCAAAGAACCAAACACAATTCAACTCATGAAAGGAGGCACTATGCACACTACCATAACATCAATCCTTCACTGGTCACATATCATTATGGCTTATGGTTTAAACCTCATAGGATATCAATAAACATATGATATCAAAACTGCCCCATTTTAGCCAGAAGCTAACTTCAGCTTCTATTACCACAATCAGGCAAGGGAAAAGAGCTATGGAAAAAAATTTTCAATAGAAACATCCCCAAAAGCTAATGCTCACAATGACTGTTTGGATAGGAAGCTAAATGACTTAGAATAAGCCTGTGAGCAATCCACACCTTCTGTTCTACTTTGAAAAGGTCTGAAATTCTGAAGGAAAACAGCAATTCTAAATTAAAGCACGTATTGATTGTGTCTGATTAAAAGACTGAGATTCCATAACACTAAGCTGTTCACACCCATCGTAGACAATACAAATCCTCAGCAGCATCATACAGCATCACACTACCACTTATTTCCAAAAGAATAAATCCCAATTCTGATCACAGTATATTCTAAAACCATTTTTATTTTCAGTGTCACACTGAAGTGATCATTCACTACCTCTTTGTTGCAAAAAAAATGGTTCCTATATTCAGCTCAGTGAGAACTGAATATTATTTTAAGATCATGTGATCACTGGAATATTAAATGGCACATCACTCTCTTCATAAGTTCCCATTTGTTATAAGGTCAGAAAGTGCAAGAGTTTACTTGAATATTTTTTTAGTTAAAGCAATTAAATATTAAAAAGCCCACATACATTTTGGAGCCTTGAAGTCTACATTTTGAAAATGCAAGATAATATAATAACAAAACAATATTTTTGTATTCAATCATTTATCCCAATTCTTAATGTGTTTAAGAATATGTTTTTAATTCAAAAATTAATAATATTATTTTTTTAACTCACAGAAGCTTCTCACAATCTTTCTGTCCTTGTGGAAATAACACTGTAAGCCAAGAGGTTGGGAAAAAAAAAAAAAAAAGAAATAAAAATATGGCCTCATACCTCTTCTGCTTTGTTGTCCAGTGGCTCCTGAACTGAGGAGATTTTGAGCTTCTGCTGAAAAGACTTTTCTAAAGGAAGTGGAGAGCAAGTCCCTATCTCTTCCACCTCTCCTGGAAGAACAAATGACCCTGCTGAATAAAAAATAATGGATGTTAGCCTTCCATTTTATGTGCAAGTTTAGCAAAATCATGTGTAAAATCTCATAGTGCTTAAATGCAGATAGAGGTTTTTTAGTTGTAAGTGTAGCATACTGACTGTTGCATAATATTAGGCAGTTACCTTGAGAACAGATCCATGCAATCCTAAGCTAAAATCTAGATAATAAAGTACACTATACTAAGGAAAAATCAAAGTTAAGTAGATGGTTAGCTCTTCTTTCTTGAGAACACAGCATAGAAGTTCTGCAGCTAGACATGCCCAAACTCAGAGAAAATTTGGTATTAGATTTATGTGTTTCATAAAGAGGAAGGAAAATCCTGAGCAGACTTAGAAATAAGATTGAATTCTAGTCTTGCCATTGATCAGCTGGGCAGTTTATTTCAATTCTCTTTTCCTAGAGTTTCACCATCTATCCATTGGGCATAAGGAATCTTTACAAGTATCTGTCCTAGTATTAATCTCCTGAAGTGTTAAGTAAGCAATACCTGATAGAAGTAATAATATTTCCCATTATGATGCCAGTTGACTCTTGTCCAAGGATATTTAATGGATGTTTGCCCATCCCTGAACTTTCCAATGAGAGGCATTTAAGAGGAATTACATGTATCTGGAACGCGCAACCTTTCTATGCTGGCAGTATTTGGACCACAGTTCACAAGTCTGCAGACTTTCTGAATCACTTCTCCATTCCACACTTAAGGAAAATGTTCGTACTAGGAATGGTGGGTTTGATTTCTGTGACAGCTCAGAATGATATGCCTTTGGTTTACAAGTATCTTTTAACATCAACCAATCTCAACTCTGCTACAGCGCAGATGCATCCATCTTGTCTCCATAATGCTTTCATATGAAGAAACTTAAGGAAACCATATGTCTTGCAATTTAGTTGAAGGATTATGTAAATCAATCTACTCTTTTTTCTGCCTGGTGCACAAATTTCTTTACAGCTTCATAACAGATATTTGTAGCTTATTTTTCTCTTGAAATCTCAGAAACTTTCAAAGTGTTGTTCAAATGTTAATTATGGAACCAATAACAGGGTAGATAGATGCAGAGTGAAAACGAGGAAGTGGCTGTTTATCTCTACCTGTATGCTTTCATCAGAGCAGAGTGGTTACAGACCTCTTATCTTCCTGTAAAGCCACATTTGAAAATAATGATTTCCTAGCTAGGCATTCTTGAAAGTTACATAATGAAATTCTTCATTTATTTTTTCTTCTAGCATCTCTATATTTTTTCAAAGCCAGCAGGACTATCCACTTTGGACTTGTAAAGTAGAACATTCTTTAATAAAGAGCTGAATCTATTCCCTCTGGTATCTCATTCCCAGACTTATGTGTTTTGCTTCATGATTCACAAATAAATGGTTTTCAATTTTCACCTCTACTCTCTTGGTTGCTTATACCTATCTCCAGTCATCTATGTGCTTTCAGTCCTTGTCCTCAGTATAGTATCTGATCTTATTCTTCATCAGTTATATGAGAAAGCTTTCTGAAAATTCTCTATGGCTTCACACATACTCTGGAACTACTTTTTTCATTCTTTCATAACCGGTGTCAAAATTATTTGTAGGACAGAAGTGAGATGTGAATGCTTATTTAAAGGCAATGGCAACTTCTTGTTTCAAACTTGCACCCCAAATATATACCCTCCCTGAAGAGAGGAAAGCCTGGACACCAAGAGGTTTATATCACCTCCTGAGGTAACGTCCATTATTTTAGTACTAAGAGCAGCTTTTTCCTCACAACAGACCAATCTGTGGAGAGAAGATGAAGAAGAAACATTTATGTAACTGCCTGGCAGTGGCTCAAGAAGACATCTCTTAAAAATTGGGACAACAGAAGGAAATTTATTTTTGCTTTTAGCAAGAAGTGCTTGTCATACTCAGAATGTCAATTCCAATTTTTTAAGGCTCGTTAGTAATGCAAACAGTGTTTCAAATTTCCTTCAATCACCCCGTAAGAATGTGGTAATCAACCTTTGTTTGCCAGTAGACATGCCAGAAATGAGCTTTGTCTCTCTATCCTGGCTGCATGACAGCATATGCAAGTCTAATCGGTAAATGCTGCTTTCCCTGATAGTGTTTAATCAAGAAACTCCTTCAGAGAGAAAAATTAGAGAGTTTTGACAGTACTCCTTCTCAATGGGAGCTCCCAAAGGAACTGTAGGCTATTGTAAGTTCTAGCCAGTACCTCACAGCTGATTTAGGTTGCTGTTACAGCACTAGTGGATGATGATCCTAATTAAGCTGCTAATTATGTTCTGTATGGAGGTGATTAATTAGCAACAGGAATGCCATGGATATTGCCAATGGCACTGTATATAGAGATAATTGAGAAGGCAGTGATATTAAAAATATGAGAAGACACTGAAGAATCATCTTCTTGGATAATATGGCAGTGCACTTCTACAATTTTGCTCGAGTCCACTAAAGTTTAGCAGAACAGATTTGGAAGCTGAGAAAATCTTCTTTAGCTCTTTTACTCCACGTGACAGGCTCAGAGAAAGTGATTACTAACTAAATTTGCAAAGACCACTAAATTGTTTTTTTTAGATTCAGTTTGTACCACTGATGTTAATTATAAGTATAGGAAAAAAAATAATCTGTTGGCAGAAAACTGATCTGAACCCTCAGGAATGAAGAAGTATGCAATTATCTATCTTTACTGAGCCAAGTGATGCACAGCTATAGATAGGCCACTGCAGGCTTTACCACTTTTGACACTACATTTGGCAAAAATTCTGTTGATGGGAAGCTGAAGAGGAAAGTAGTGCTAACAAAAAAAAAAAAAAAAAAAAAAAAAAAAAAAAAAAAAAAAAAACATTAAAAGCTAAATTTTGGCTCCTCTCATTCTCAGGCTTCAGGCTGTTAGCCCCAAAGAGCTGTCTAGTGTGAAGTCATCCTGAGGCAGTGTTAAGTGGGTTGCAGAGAGTAGAGGAGATAAAAAGAAACAGATTTGTAGGTTGGGTGGAGCCCAATACTTTAAAAAAAAACGTCCACAGAACTCTGAATCCTGTTCCTGAAGATGATTGTTTTTTTTCAAAATATAAATGGGAAGGCATAGATTATGGAAAATAAAATATTGCTAAATATTGCATAGAGAACTGTTAAGTTAAATAATCAGTCATTCAGGTTCTCCTTATTTTCTTTGGGGCAGCAGAAAATGTGGACCATGAAAAGACAAGTGTGCTGCATCTCAGCATTCTAAGCCCAATCTGTGTATCCTTACTTACACATTTAATCAGCTCTTTTTTAATATACTCCTGTATTTAAAGAAGGCTATACTCAAAGTCCCTAGACATGCTTCTCACATATTTAGCATTTTGTATAAATACTATCTACTATTATTACCCAAGTATCCTTTGAGCCCTACGGCAAGTGATTTGTCACCCATTCTGGAAAGGAATTTTGTTGCCAAAACACAGGTACTAAGCATTCTCCATCTGTCCTTGGAGAAAGCCTCATTATTTCTATTGTTGCCTTAAGCTACTTACAGATTAAATTCAATGAGAAAAAGCAATTAAGCAGTCCACCATACGCATGCTGTCACTACGCTATGGTTTAAAGCTATGGTTTAGGGCAGCAATTTTCCTTTGCCAATTCTGGTTTGCTGAGCCAAAGATTCACAATGAAAAAGTACTGCCTTGCTTTCAGGCTTGCAGCCCAGTGCTGTCTAATGAAAACAGCTACAGTGGATTTGCATACTGACTAAATCTATGGGCTGCTTCTCTCATTAGAAGCAGCTGTGTTCACACTGTAAAAGATACTGGACTTAGTAAAATAATAAACAAAATAAAGCAGAATGATTCATAGAATCACAGAATGGTTTGAGTTGGAAGGGACCTTTAAGACCATGTAGTTCCAGCCCCCTGCTGCAGGCAGGGACACTTCCCTCTAGACCAGGTTGCTCACAGCCCCTCCACCCTGGCCTTGAATGCTTCCAGGGAGGGGGCATCCATAACCTCTATGGGCAACCTGTGCCAGAGTCTCACCACCCTCACAGAGTAGAGAGGAAGAGCCACCTCCCTCAACCTGCTGGTCATGCTTCTCTTGATGCAACCCAGATGCAGTTGACCTTCTGGGCTGCAAGCACAAAGGGATTCTCACAGAACATCTTCCAGAAGGCACCTGGCTGTTTTAACATGTATTTTCTACCATGCTTTTCACACCTTCAGCTTTGAGCCACTTCTCCGTGTGAATATTTATTGCATTAATGTACAATTGCTAACTCAGCTAAATTATCTGCCCTTAAAGTTAAATGAAGTACAGAGATGCTGAACAGTTGCCAATATCAAGCAGAGATAAAAGCTTGCTGTAATTATATTAGCAAGGTATATTTTTCATTGGGTGTCCTGGCTTGTTCTGCCAGTATGAACTCATTTGTCTGACACAGGGGTGGCAGCATTTAAAGAGATCAGCAACAGAATGCCTTTCAAATTTGATTCACACTTTGCCTTACTTATAAATTAATTAGAGCCCTTTACAATCAATCCTTTATTAAAGTGGCCATTAGTGATATTTTATATTCATTAAGGTAAACAAGAGTAGCCATACCATTTTATATTTTATTTTGCATGTTGTTGCTAGAAATAGATATCTTTATATTTCTAGAAATATCTATATTTCTACTTATAGAAATGAGATTATTAATCTCTCTTCATGAAGAAATGTGGATTTTAATGTATAAGAGAACTATCTAGCTATGAGGCCTATTTTCTGCATGATGACTTAGGAGTGAAAGGGTTCTTTTTGTAGTTTTGTTGTGGGTTTATTTTTGACTTGAACAACCATCCTCCATTGAAGCCTTGGGCAAGAACAAGGCTATGCATTTCTGAGTTTGGTTGCTGTTTACTTTCCTTACAGAGCAGAGACAGAATAATTAGCTTCTGACTGTGCAGTATTGTAATGTTATAAAATATAATCTAAATACTTCATGTCATTAATCGGCACTCTTGATTGCTTAGGAGTTGATGCAGCCACTTTCTGTAGCAAAGCAGTTTGTGCAGTGAGGGCTATCTTGTGGGAGGAGTTGAGGAGAGCAAATATTGAAATCAATCAAATGTCAAGTAGAAAAAAAAACAAACTAGTAGTTAGCATAGTGATAATCTACAGCAGTGGTGGTATAATAGTTTTTATTATTGTTTATGGTTACCATTAAAAGCCATAACTGAAAAACTTTCCCAAGTTAGCTTGCATGAAGTTATATTCATACAGCACAAGCAGATGATCATTTCTGTAATTTTCATCTTGTTCAAATGCAGCATGTTTTACTAGGAGGTTTCTAAATGTATGTGATTAGCATTTACTCTTGCACACTGAAAGGCCTGTGGACAGACAATGTCTGCAATGGTCCAGAAAGGGGACCCCAAGTTCTGTCAGTTCTTTTTCATCACTGCCCAGCTTGTACTGTTGAGCTTATTTCTCATCTTCCAGTTTGTGGCTTCTTTTGAACTAGAGATATCTGATGATACTTCTCCTAAACTAGATATAGACCAGTCTTATTTCATTAGTGAAATGTAAATTAAGGCTTCCACCAGTGAGTCCCAGTTTTAATAGATATTATGATAATTGAAGATAAACACAGAACAATGAGAACAGTGTCCTAAAAGGGGGGAAAAATGAGGAGAAGAACAATGCACAGAAAAGAACTTTTCCATTTCTGTGCCTAACACAGGACAGCAATCTCACTCTCCCCTTTCTACTATGCCCAGTACAAAGAAAGATTGTTATAAAACTGACTTAGGCTGGTTTATTGTTTTCTTGTGAGTTACAACCAAGCTCTAAATATTCATCAATTCCAAGCCCGTAAGCCCTCTGACTTCATAAGTACTCTGCACATACGGAAAGGACTAATCAAATAGTTAATGGATTAGACAGACTAATTAAACAGTAACAACTAGGGACCAAAGTCTGCTCTGTCACAGCTTCTTCCAGTGACTTTATGCAAAACTCTTAAACTGTATGGCTTGGTTTCTTTGTGCAGTCACAAGTATAGATGAGGAAAATCACCACAGGGTGTTCCATTTTGGTAGAAACAAAGACCGCACAAGTACCTGTAATAGACAAACAACTGCAGGCACAATATTTCTATATACTTTTCAGTGGCAGGAGAGTTAAATTTTTTGTACTCATAATGGAGAAATTCAAAACAATTCAAAATGCTCATAGTTTGAATGCTCAAAGAAGTTCACCGTGTATTAAAGATAATTCTTATTCATTTTAAGCCCAGGATGAAATCACTGTAATGAGTAGGGAAAACATTTTCATTAAATATTTCCACTTCATAGGATTCTCTTTTAGCACCCGATTTACTTTGTGGGTTACACTTTCTAATTAAAATAATTTCTATACAAAACAGAGGAACAGAAAAATGAGAAAGTTGCCACAAAAAGTTGAAAAACCTTGAAAAAAAATCAGTGCCTAACAGGTAACTTAATATCTCATCTTAGAGTGTGGACATGAATTCATCAGTCTGGGGCATACGGGCAATTGGGAAAATTTTCTAGCAATAGAAGAATGGAGGAAAAATAAAATTTTTAAGAGATAAACTGTTCTGCTAAACAATGTTTCAGAGTCACTAAAAAGAATAAAAAGTAATATCTGTACACATGGATCCAAAGACAGAATCTGATTGTGAATATGAAGATGGATAAAACGTACCATTGCATGGCTCTCCATCTATGTATGTTTCTAAGTAATGGTCCACCTGCAGTGAAAAAAAAAAAAAATAAAGTGAAAAACAGATCAAATTCCATCCCTTTCAGTACAAACTACAAAAAAGCAGAAAAGCATTAAGTTGTCTTCTTTGTCATCTCAATTCTCCTCTGTATTTTTCCAAGAAAGAATATGATTTTTTTTCAATGTAAAACACAAAGGAAAAACTTCTAAGTGTAGAAGGATTTCTGCACAGGATTGCTGCTGCAGCTGTTGCATACCAACTACAGCGAAAGAAGCTCAAGCTGAAGAGCAACCTTTTCAAAATCTTGGTAGGAAGATGGAGAAGTCAAATATTTTCAAAGAAAAAAAGCTACTCTGTGGATTTGCAAAGGCACAACACGTGACACAGGCACAGCTTAAACTGTAAACTTCATCTTTCTATATTTGATATTAATATTGAACTGAATGGAAAATGAAAAAGCTAAGGATTATGTAAATTTTAATACTTCAGCTGGGACGTATCACTACTGTTTTTATCAGGCTGATATCTGCTGAAAACAGTCCACACTATAGAACAAGTATCACAAGAGTTACTTCATATTCAAGGCAGCACTCTGAATAGATGCAAATATGAGAGTCAAAGAGCTTTCCCAGCCCATCTGTAAATAGTGTTACAACAAAGGATTTATTTACTATACACAATAGAGCCTTCTGTGTATCTGTGCAGTAATCAGGGATGCTCTTTGATCATTTTTTACAAACTGATTTGGCACTATTGTGTTACACAACCTTTATATTTTAATAGCACATGCTCATTAACACTTGGAAAAGAAATGTGGAGGATGATGATCTCATTCTTCTTTCCCATAGATGTGAAAAAAATACACTGACAAACTACAAAAGGTTTATTTGTACATAAAGCAACATTCAGTGACATTCAACTCATAATCTCCACTTTGAAGAAAATGAAAGGAAACCTCACCTGAGCTCTTTCAGATAGACTGAGGCCATTTCCATCAGAGTCACCAGATTTCCAGCTCTCATTTATGACCATCTGTAGATAGACATGCAGAAATATGCATGAAACAGAACCAAAGCAATAGTCAAGCTCATTTACACCCCTACTGATTTACACACACAGATTCTTGACAGTGATTAAAAATTGTATAAAGTGAATGCTGTGCTGCTGCAAATAGAATGCATGTAGGTAATCCTTTGAAATTCTACATGGAACCAGACTGATTTAGTATAAGTAATCACACTATGCCAAAAAAGCAACATTTAGAATAGAAATATTGTTTACAAATGCAATTGTTTCCCTTCTTTCCTCACAGGAAGTTTAAAGGCTACTGTGCCCAACTTAATGTATTAAAGACTCCTCCCATTACTATTCTAGCAGCTTTTCTGATGCATTCTACTACTACTGTATTTGTTTCTAAAACTGTTTATGTGACAAAAATGTGGCGTCATGGCTGAAACTTTTTTTTCTGTAGCAACAAAGAGCAGTATTAAGATCTTCCTTAACATAAAGGCTAATGGAAGCTGCACGTTGCTCTACAGGGTGGAAAAACAATTCAAAGTGGCTAAAGCAAGAGACCCAACGGCCATCTATACCAATGAAGCATCCATACTCTTCATAAGATCAGTGGCAAAAAGATTTTTGTCATTTTTGTTATGCAATCAGCTGATAGAATGTGACTGTTTTAAAAGCCTTGCTTGATTCTACCTCAAAGGCATGTGTTAGTAGGGAGAAAAATGACAGCTTTTTCTCTTTGAGTGAGGCCCGGCAGTGCCATCATTTGAAGCCATTGAAGTGTGTTGCTGTGTGCATTGCACAAAATGACCCGCTACTTCATTTGTAATAAGAAACTTAATGAATCTATTACAGGCAAGATTGCAGCTTTATTTTTTGTTATTCATGCAGGAGGGTACAAGTTCTTAAGAAGTAGATTCAGATTTTCATCTTGCTCTCTCCAGATGATGTATGCAGTTTTCTTGTCCCTGCACATTCCTAATCTCATAGGTTTCCAAAGATTAAAAAGACTTCTGGCCTGCCTAATATTTACTTCAGGCAGCTGAAGCAACAGGATTCTGTATTTTTTAAAATCCTCAAGCAAAGTAAATGTGTGCATGCTGGTATTCACACACTCAAGTCTTTTGCCAAACCCTACCATTAACTGCAGTTTTGAGTGAAAGCCTAACAATGGTCTTTGTGGGGCTCCTTATTTATTAGTCAGATTAGGACAGCTTTGCAGTAGAGAAAATGCCACTGTCAAATGTGATCCCTGCAGGTGCCTCTGTAAGCATTACACACTTGGGTAGTGTTTTAAATATTTGCCTTAGATGGGATAATACCATCAGCATCTAACATTTAGACAGTATACCCTTATTTTTACTTCTTTTAATCTTTTTGAAACTAATGCTTGTCCACACAGACAGATGTTAACTTATTACCTTATTCTCATTTGGAGTCTGTGGTAGGACAGACATGAGCTTTTCCTTGCTTCTTTCAGGGAAACCATCCTGTTTATTTCCATTTGAGATGTCAGAATCAGAAAATGATTTTCTTAAGGATTTTTTACATCCTTGAATCATCTTCATCTCTTCTTCTGCAAGGAGAATCATATTACATCAGATACTATAATGGCACCATCCAAGATAAAGAAAAACATATGAATTTCACTAGATATTATACTGACTTCATTCAAATATTCACTTCTCGTCTTATGCTCAGAATTTCCATGTGCATGATATACATCTACTTTGCAATCTTTATCATAAAGCTAAATATGCAGTTTGAACTCCCAGTACATAAAGTATGATCTATTCCTTGATACGGAAAAATTCATTGTTGAAAAAGTTTACAGTATATAAAAAACTTTACATACCTTCACATACCTGATAGGTTACCAAGAACAGAAAAATGCTCTGAATTTTATTGAGTGCTGTAATGATCTGGTCCAAAAATTCTTGTATTTCATACCACAGTATCTTGGTATCACCCTGTTTACACTGATGAACAGCCCAAACACATGCTCCAGCATGTGAACACCACAACCACTAGAGCAAACATCCATGTTGTCTGGTATAGAAGTCAGCCTTGGCAATTCATTTGCCAGAGCTGGTAGTGACACCAGTTGTGCGCCTGCCCAGGTTCAACATCTGCAAAGCTCTCAGGTTTCCACATCACCACTGCCAGAACCTCCAGCAGACCAAGACTATGTGATGAGATACAGTGACAGGTCCTATACGATATTATCACTTTAAAGTTACTAGTTTGTAGACAGATGACAGCACACAATTTGCCACCATGACGAGAGAGCCCCAGATCATAATCGGATGAAAGATTTCTGCTTAGAAAGACGCACAATCCTAAAAGGATGAGAAAGCAAATTTCAAGGTCTGGCTTCCTACTCTGTCTTTGATGCTGAGCAAAGAACTGCTCTCTTTATCACAATGCAAATCTAGCTCCTGTATCTTTATTTAGTAATACACCTCATTTGAGCTGAGACCTTTAGGTACTGCTGCTTTCAGTGTTCAAAACCTACATTAGCAACCTGACTGTCCAGGAACAATTTTGCAAGAGAAAATTTGTTTCTGGGATCAAGCTTATAAACAGCCATATGCCAGCAGCATTTAATCGTCAAAAGTTTAGGCTCTGAAATTAAAGATTAAATATAGGTGTTTAAGAAGGGTTTGTTCCTTTAGGGGATTCTTCTCTTGTTGAAAGTCAGACTGGAAAAACATTTTGACACGGTACCAACAGAAGACTGGGATACCTTCTCTCATGTTTCTTTTATGCATCAGTAGCAGCTAATTGGGCCCACAGTGAAAATAAGGGAGTATTCAAAAATATAAGTGAGTCAGCGACAGCTTCTGACACCTTTCATACCTGTAAGAATGCCATTTACAACAGAAGCGAGGACAGGACAACTCCTGCTTCTTCTGGCCATCATACCGGACAGGTCTCTGCAGTGCAGAACAGCCAGCAAAATTATGACACAGCAGTGACATCACGGATGGAACCTCCACAGTGCAACTGCAGCTGAGAGCTGACTAGAGGTCAAGACAAGCATTTGCATGGAAGTTTGGAATTCTAAACTCACTCTGACTGTTTGCATACAAAGTAGCTAAAAATATACTAATTGTAGCCAAAATAAAACTGCCTTTTTATTTAAAAAAAAAAAAAATCCATTATAAAATATGGAGAACCAGATGAACTTTGCACTACATGAAAAAATAAATGCTGATTTTAACCAAGTTTCTTGGGTTTAGTTTGAAAGATTTACTCTATAAGAATAAGAAACACTGCAGTCCATTTCTAAAGCGAAATTACACGTTATAGGCATTAAAGTATTTCTTGCAGAGAGCCTTAATGATGCCCTTGGGGTTAGTACATTCAGCCATCCACTTTCCCACAGACTTATTAATCCCCACAGACAGCTCTGTGCTGCAGTTACTATGACACACAGAAAGGGCTGGCATTCTGGACATAACCTTACGTCCTTACTTGTAAGAGTCAGGTTCATTAAAAGTAAATTGCACCAGATCAGAACAGCCTAGCAAACAGGTTTTAAAACTCAAACCACAGATGGATCCTCTGAATAATTCCTAAATCCCAGGTCTCTTGATATGACATCTGGCTTCTTGCTTTTTTAGCAAGTGTTTTCCTAAAACAATATTTGGAAACAGCACTACATATGGGCAATGTCTTCTTCCTACACACTCTCTTTTTCAAGCCATGCAAATGAAGCTGTGTTAAATCAGAAACCCTCTTTCAAACTCTTGACAGGTTAAAGCTATCACCCACTATTTGAAGATATTGTCATCCCACTTTACAGGAAGAATGTGATTAGCGGCTCAAAAAGCTTCAATCTTTTGTTATTACAGTGGTAGAACAGGATGAACTTCCTTTTTTATACCAAGAACTGAGAAGTTTAATATTTAAAACTGACAAACCACAAGAGGATACTAATGTCTTTATGCAGCCAAACATGTATCCACAGTGTCACACTAGGAACTGAGGGGCCAGTATCCTCACTGTGCACATTCGGAGGCCTTTATGTAAGAAAACTGGAAGAAAGCTTCTGGAAGCAATACACGTTTCTCAGCAAGATTAACAGAGAGACAAAAGGCACCATCAACTTTAATGTTCAACATCATAATTCATACGCCAGTAGGCTCTGAATAAACTTATGTATAGAAACAGAATATCCCAAGTTGGAAGGAACCCATAAGCATCATCCAAGCCTTACACAGAGCCACCCAAAAATCAGACCATATATCTGAGAGCATTGTCCAGACACTTCTTGAACTCTAGCAACCTGCGGCTGTGATCGCTGTCCTGGGGAGCCTGTTCCAATGCCTGACTCTTTCAGTGAAGAACTTGAATAAGCCAATGTCTATCCTGGGTGCCCCCGTAATCATTCTTCTGTGCTATAATCTGTGCTATAATCTGTGCTATAATTTTCCAAAGATCCCGAATACTCCAAATAAAAGCATATCACTTCATATCAGAAGACCTAGGACAAATAGTTGTCATTAGTTACAATTAAGCAGTCCACAAAGTTATTTTATGACTTATTTTATGCTTTCTGGACATCTGAGCTATTCTCACAGACAAAAAGTTGATAGGTTATGTGAGCTAACAAGAAATCAAGAGCCATTCACAGTATTTGTGCACCATTCATTTACTTCAGACTAGCTAGAATAGTATTCAATTTCCAAAGAGACTAGCCATAAGCTGCTCTTAGACACATTTTTTTTTTGGTTAAGACCACTGCAGCATTGCTGAGTTACATAACATCAAGTATTATCTTTGATGCAACATTCACAACTGCAATGTGATACCACATTAATGACTGCAAGGAGAAAAAAAACTACAAGGACAAGAAAAAAAAACACAAATAAATTGTTACATGCTTCCTCAGTAAAAGTATCAGCTATGCACCCATGTGCATAATAAGGCTATGTCACAAGAACAGGCAGGGGGGTGGGAGAATCAAACATAATGTTGCACAGACAGTGTGCCTCAGGGCAGATGAGATCCACTCTTCTGATGACTACTGATACCTGTAGTTTCTCAACACACACATCACACAACAGCCTCTTTGAGAGCAGTAAGTTATTATCTTGAAAAATATATTTAAAACAACACAAATTTTGCTAAATCTAAAGAAACTGGCAATTTGCAGAGAAATATCTCAGCTTTATTCCTTTGACAGTATTCTGAATTCCAGCCATTTCTGTCCTTACTTTTGAAAGAGAATGGAAAGCAAAACAGGTCACATTCAAGCCAGTGAGAGGCTCGCTCAGCCTCCCCCCCTTGGCTAAGTGATAATTGACTCATTATTCACAGCAAAGACCCAGATGTGTACAGCACTGGCTTTTCATGGAATCATAGAATTGTTTGAGTTGGAAGGAACCTTTAAAGGTCATTTGGTCCAACTCCCCTGCAATGAACAGGGACGCCTACACTAGAACAGGTGCTCACAGCCCCATCAACCCTGACCTTGAATATCTCCAAGGACAGGTGCTTCCACCACATATCTGGGCAACCTGTGCCAGTGCCTCGCTACCCTTACTGTAAAAAAACTATTTCTTCTATCCAGCCTAAGTCTCCCTTCCTTTTGCTTGAAATCATTTCCTCTTGTTCTGTTACAACACATTCTGCTGAAGTCTGCCCCCTTCCTTCTCATAGCCCACTCTTCCTCCCCACCCCCTTTAGATACTGTGTGCGAAAAAATAAATAACAGATACAAACGCAACAAAAAATAGCAGAGGTTTGAAAGGATGGAAGGATTCGTATGTTTACTCTGAAGACAGATTTTCAATTTTACTTTTTAGAAATTCCACTGTCACTACAATGAAATAACAAACAAGCTTAGGTCTCTAGAAAAGCAAATCTCAGTCTCTCAAGAGTAATATCCATCACTCTAACTGAGACGTATGTTGCAGGCTTCAGAAACGTTTCTATCAGAAAGTACATCAGATTGATACATTCTTTCTGTCCAGCATCTATCCTCCATATTGCTTAAAATTCTCTTTGTCTTTCAATTTGGAAGGGAATCTTTTGAAAATGTCCACTGATCACCCATATATTTCAAAGAATAATGGAGTCACTTACCACAAAGCCAGAGAAGAGAGCTATCGGGATTACCAGGAAAAACTTTCTGTCAGTGAAACCTATGAGATGAAATAGTAGCCCCAGTCCTGGAAGAATGATAAAAGTCCCTTGGTCTGAAACATTTCAAAGCAAGAACAGACACAGCGATCAATACTGCAGAGTGCCTGGCTTGGGATAACACACCAGACTAAACAATATAAGATACCAAGCGTTTCACTCCTTCAATTCAATGGATTAATGCCAAAAATGTTTATAAAAAGCGGATGAGAACAAGGCCCCTTTCAACTATTAAAAAAACAAAGCTAATGCAGCAAAGTTCCAAGTTACCTCTTTGTCCTCAAAATATTAGACAGCATAAGACTTGTCAATCCCTCAAATCCCTTCAAAGTTATGCTTTGATGGAACCCCTGGGATTCAAATAATGCAGTGTCTTTTTGCAGTGCTCCTGAACAAGAAGTAATTTACTCCCAGTAGCATGATAATGGTCTTATAAAGAGGTCAAGAGTACAAATTTCAATTTTATTTATTATCTCAGATGCACCAGCAAACAGACACACATAAAGCATAAACAAACTGAAATGTTTCCATAAAATATCACTCCAGGATTTTCAGAACAGGGAAACAGTGCAGAAGTACCTGCATTTACCTATTAGCAACTATGTATACGGCTTTATGGTGCTGAGGTAATTTACCCTAAATGCCAAGCCATAACAGGAAAGAAACAGATTTAAAGCCTGAAAACCCAATTTGTTGGGAGGATAATTTTTAAAGCTTAGTTTTTTGTTGCTGTTTTTTGTTTGTTTTGTTTTGTTTTGTTTTGTTTTTTGTAATTCGATCAAACCTGCTCCCAGATATAACTCTGCAGTACCTTAATCAAAATATGCAGCCTCCCCCTGCTTGTATACTGCACAGCTAAGCACAGAACTTCGTATTTTATTTTAGTTACTTTGCCAAGGAAATCTGCTCCAATTTACATTCTTGAGCTATCTTTCTTTTCCTGTGTATTTAAATATATAAATCATTGTAAATCAGTGCAGAATTTGTCCAACTTATCTTGACAAGAAAAAAAAAAAAAAAAAAAAAAAAAAAGAAAACTACTCCGTACAGTGAATAACTGAAGGATTTTGGAATTAGGCACCTATTTGCCTGTTCCAGGGCAATTCGAGTGCCTAAACAGTTATCTAGTGCTATTTTAGGAGCCCTAGGTGTCCTGCCTAACCTTCTGCTGCCACCCAAAAGGGCAATGGATTTTCCATAGATACTGTATCATATCTGCCAGCCACAGGCATCTGAATTATCCAACTATTAGACACTCAAATTGCTAAAGTCCTACTGAAATCTTTCTCAGCTAAAACTCTCACTGATTTCAATGACACCAATCCCATGGCAACACTAAAAGCAGAACTCCTCCGTCAAAGTTACTCAATCTGCGAAGCTGAGAAAATAACAACTTACTGCACTTTCAAGACATGTTATGAATATTAATTTGCACACTGAGGCAAGTATGTCAAACATTGTTGTCTTCCATTTCTGCATTTCTTCTTCTATTTGACTAATAGGGGGTTTTATGCTGCTGGTTCCCCTTTCCCTCACTGCAACCTTGCACCAGTGTAATGGATGTCTATGGAACTCTCTTCTGCTTATGCCAGAACAGAGATTCAATCAGTATAGCCCTTCCCCTTACATCTTTGATCTTACCCTGATTAAATCACAGACAATCATCCAAAAGCACTATTTGCCTCCATGTTTTTTGTTTGTTTGTTTCATTTAAAAGATCAGCTTTTACTATGTTCAATAATATAGCCTTGATTCTTTGCTCACTAATACCAGTGTGCTAATGAAAGTTCACAATGTGATGTCAAGCAACTGAAGGAACTGGAGCTGTTCAGTCTGGGGAAAGGAGGCTGAGGGGAGACCTTATTGCTCTCTTCCAGTATCTGAAAGGTGCTTACACAGAGAATGGGGTTTTTCTCTTCTCACTGGTGACAGGTGACAGGATAAGTTGAAATGGCTTCAAGTTGTGCCAGGATAAGTTTAGGTTGGATATCAGGAAATATTTCTTTACAGAAAGGGTTGTTAAGCACTGGAAGAGGCTCCCCGGGGAGGTGGTTGAGTCACCATCCTTGGATGTGTTTAAAAACTGTTTGGACATGGTGCTCAGGGACACGATTTAGTGGAGGGTTGTTAGAGTTAGGCTAATTTGGTTAGGTTGCATTTGGACTTCATGATCTTCAAGGACTTTTCCAACCTGAGCAATTCTACGATTCTTTGATTCTTTGTCCTCAGCTAGGATAAATAAATATTCTGTAGACTGGGACAAGTAACGTGTAATCTTTTAAGTACCAATTATTACTTCGAGCTGCCATTTTTGCCTATTTTACTTTAACGTATTTTTAAAATAAATAAATAAAAGACAGGAGAGGACTTTCCGTATCTATTTCTTCTGGGGAAAGAAGAATGACTGTTGGTTACATCAAGCATATTTCAGCCACCCACACATTCCCTTTAGCTTAATGCACAGCAATACTTATTCATAACTAAATCGGCTCTTCATTTTCAAAAGTTTAACTGTTCTTTTACTACATCAGTATCTCTCCACTTCTCCTTAATGGAATCTATATGCTGTGTTTTTATGTACTGTTTCTCTGTATCAATATCTATGTCTCTATAGGGTTTTAGTTATTGTCAGTGTTAGAAGAGTGGCAATATTT